ATAAAGTTGGAAGGGACCTTGGAGGTCATCTAGTCCAGTCCCCTGCTCGAGCAGGAGAACCTATTCCATTTCAGACAAATGGCTGTCCAGTCTCTTCTTAAAAACTTCCAGTATTGGAGCATTCACCGCTTCTGGAGGCAGGTTGTTCCATTGGTTAATTGTTCTAACTGTCAGGAAGTTTCTCCTTAGTTCTAGATTGCATCTCTCCTTGATTAGTTTCCACCCGTTGCTCCTTGTCCTGCCTTCAGGTGCTTTGGAAAATAGCTTGACTCCCTCTTCTTTGTGGCAGCCCCTGAGATATTGGAACACTGCTATCATGTCCCCCCCTCGTCCTTCTCTTCGTTAAACTAGACATACCCAATTCCAGCAACCGTTCCTTATATGTTTTAGCCTCCAGTCCCCTAATCATCTTTGTTGCTCTTCTCTGTACTCTTTCTAGAGTCTCAACATCTTTTTTACATCGTAGTGACCAAAACTGGATGCATTATTCCAAGTAGTTATCTGGTCCTGTCTGATATGCTTATGATTGGCAGCAATATTGGGGAAGGAGTGTTTCTTCTGAGCCTCTTACTCTGCCCACTATGCCTCTGTCAGCTATGCTATCTCTTATCTGATTGTTCCCTGGCAGCATCTCTTTGCCCTATCTCCAAGGTCTTTCCCACAAACCTGACAGATAGGCTTGTTTTCATTTTGTTTGCATACAATAAAGCGGCTCATAATAGTATTAAGCCCCCAGATGGTATGTGGATTGGAACCACAATCAACTGGACTGACACACTACTCTTACCCAGCATGCTAAAGCATAGAACAATGTACATGATTTAGCATTAAGTAGCTATTCTTGAAAAAGGTTAAGCAGGATCAGATCTGGTCAGTATTTGGATGGGAAGCCCTTAGATGTAAGCAACTAAAGGACTGAACTTGATTATATTTCACTGTGTTATCTCTGGGCTTCACTCTGACAGGGAGCAATGCATTGGAACTGATTAATATTTATGTATGTATGTATGTATGTATTTATTTATTTGACTGCTATCATGTCACTATTAATCCTTCTTTTCATTAGACTAGACCAGGGGTAGGCAACCTTGGCTCTTTTATGACTCGTGGACTTCAACTCCCAGAATTCCTGAGCCAGCATGGCTCAGCTTGGAAACCTCTCCCTTTCCCCTCAGCATGGCTGGCTCAGGAATTCTGGGAGTTGAAGTCCACCAGTCATAAAAGAGCCAAGGTTGCCTACCTACCCCTGGACTAGACATACTCAATTCTCGCAACCATAGTTCTTCTCTGATTCTTTCTTCACAGGGTTCATCTATGAAGGTGCTAAGGCTGTTTTTTCTTATATGTCACTCTAAGAATGAAATCTCCATAAATTGGGCTAGATTGAGTTTATGTGATTCAGATTGTTGTAAATCCAATCTCTTTGCAAGGCCCTCTAAATTCTCCATTTTTGGTTTTTCCTTAACCAAGGTTTCATTAGTTTCATAAAGCTTTCTTAACACACTCCAGAGCTTGTATCATTGCCCAATTGCTGCAGCATGCAATTAGAAATGGGTCTGGGTGAGGCAAGACTTTATATTTCTGAAACCATGCACACATTCATCCATATAAGGGAACATGACCACTTCTCTTGCCCAAGGCCCGGTTCCCATTTTTCCACAGATCACATGCAACAAGATTTTAGGAATGAGTTTTAAGCTGGGATCATGAGAGGTATCCTTCCTCTGGTTGCTTAGCACACCAACCAGCTTGTGATGCTTAAACAACCTTGCAATGCTAGGTAGGTGTGCATATTTTTCCACATCATTAAACAACTATACAAACTGAATAAAGCCAAAAATGCAAAAGCTCAACTTATCTCCTTTGAAGAATTCTCAACATTCTCTCACTTAATATCAACAATCCACTAAATAAACATCAATCTCAAAAGGAAAGTCCACCCATAAAGCAAAAATACAGTTCCCAAATTCATGTAGTGTTCCCTTCTTCAGTGCACCCCCTGTTGGTGACTACTTGCATCTCTCACCCTTCTTGGGAGCCACCTATTGGGAAGAGAGTGAAGTTCCATGTTGGAAGAAATCAACTGAATTTTCATGTTGGTATCGGCACTGTGCCTGTTCTGGACCAATCAGTTAGATGGGTCTGTATGTTAGAATGTTTGGCATTTATTGGGTTAAGCACTGTCTCCTTAAGAGATGGCTTATGGGTAATGTAGTTTAGCTAGTCAGCTATCCCATGTTAACAGGTCAGTAGGAGGAGCTACTAAGTTTATCACAGGATATCCTGGCTATGTGCCAGTTTGGAATGCCTTTGTCTGAGGTAAGCATGGGACCACTGCAGGACACACAGGGTCCCATTCCACGTTAGACGTTGATATGGAGGAATTATTGATTTCTTACCTAATAAAGATGAACAGATGTACAATATTCAGAAGAAACTACCAAGAAACGTGAGTTCAGCAGTATTCCTGGATTAAATGTCTGTTTTATAATCATCTTTGTTTGAGTCATCTGTCTGTGCTTGAATTATAAAAGCATCTTGATTCAGGACACAGAACAGTAAGAAATCAATAATTCCTCCATATCAACGTCTAACGTGGAATGGGACCCTGTATGTCCTGTGGTGGTCCCATGCTTATCTCAGACAAAAGCATTCCAAACTGGCACGTAGCCAGGATATCTGTGATAAACTTAGTAGCTCCTCCTACTGACCTGTTAACATGGGATAGCTGACTAGCTAAACTACATTACCCATAAGCCATCTCTTAAGGAGACAGCGCTTAACCCAATAAATGCCAACATTCTAACATACAGACCCATCTAACTGATTGGTCCAGAACAGTGCCTGCCCCAGATATTTGAAATATTTTGGAACAATTCCCCTGCCCTCTGCAGCTTTTATAACTGCTCCCAGTGCGATGTCACCATTGTATACCAGCCATGGTGACACCCATTTTGCAGATGGTGGGAAGCCAAAAACCTCCCTTGGTTCCCCTTCTTCTTTCCTTCTGGGTGCAGTGAGAGAAGAAGCCACCTGCTAGCATTGTGGTCTGGAGAAGCAAGTTGTTGCTCCTTTGCCTGACAGGATAAAGAGGCAAATAAATCACATTCTGTTCGGGCATGGCTTGTCTTCAATTCATCTAGCATTTAGTTGCTGTGTGCTTAACTATCTGTCCCCTGTCCTGTATCATCTGTCCTGGGTAAAACAGACAGGAAACGTCACTAGATGAGCAAAAATCTACTTTATTGCAGAGCCACATTAACAGAAATTTCCAAATCTGAAGATATAAACTTTTATTTAACCAAATAAAAGATAAAATATCATCAGCTTTTACTGGAAGAAAAAAAATGTCCCTTGGTGCAACTGAAGTTGCTTTTGAGGCTAAAATAACCTTGCTAAGTGCAGGCTCAAGCCTCTATTGATTTCTACAATTGTGATGCCTGTGTAATTTAAATGAGTTTAAAATATGAAACCACAAAGCTTGGAATGTTTACTTTATTTCCCAAGGCAGGCAAACTGCCTTCTGTTGATAGGAGAGCAGAGGCGTTCTTCTAGATGTTAACCCAGAACCGTTTAGGAATTTGATACCTACAACTTTTCTCTTAAGTTGAATAGGCAGCCATTGATATTGACATTAAATATAATAAAATCAGAATGCCAAGTAGCTATCACTACCCTTCCTGCACCACTTGAATTTTTTAAAATTGTCTTTATGGGTAGCCCCATGTGATTATAACACATAGCAAGATTCATTTTCTCTGCATTGAGCCATAGCACGTGAACCATATGGAAATTTTTTTGTCTAAAATAGTCATTTGCACTTTCACAAGAAAGCAAAAAAAAAAAAAGTCCAGAGCAACTCCATGCTTTGTTGCTAGCTTTTTAGGGGGAATACACTGAGTAAATAATGTTATTTTTTCCTTCTATAAAAGATATACAGCATTGTTATAGTTGCAGTTGCTTCTGTATCTGTCCTAATGATATGAAAGCTTTAAATCTCATCTGTGTATGCACAGACAATAAAGTTAGAGCAGTTACATTTCAACCATTTGTTCTAAGTACAATATATATACATGTGTAGAAAGAGAGATCAGTCTGTAGATATTACCACTTGAAATTGTTTCAGTCTTTTCTCTGATTCTTTTCTTCTGGAATCAGCCAAAAATGTTTTCATTTAAATGTGAGTTTATAAGGTCTTTTCTTGTTGTAACAGCTGTCCACCTTTTGATTCAACTGAGTTGATGAATCCTGGTCTCATGGAGATATAGATATAGGATTCTCCAGATACTGTTGAACTAGAGTTCTATTATCATATCATGTCATTTTGGTCATGTAGCTGACAGAACCTGGGATATTTTGAAAGTCACATGTGGGCATCTATGATGGACACCTTCCAAAGGTTTGAATGTCAGCTTTGAAATTTCTCAACAATGATCCTACTGGATCGACATTAAAGTTCAAATACACAAAATTGAAGGCCACTCAAACTGGGGAAGACTGAACTAGACCAAGCTAATTAGTCTTCAAGTAATACTTGATAAATAAGTTAGTCCAACTTGAGAAATGTTTTGTTTTCCACAAAGATAATTGTCTGCATGAATTCTGGATAAATGCAGAAATTAATCAGCATAAAGACCAGTTTCTTTTAAATTAAAAAAAAATGTGCTTGGTGGGAAAGAAACGAATGCATCTTTTGAATGACAATAATGAAAGTAAAACGTTCAGATCTTGGAACCTTCCGAAGTCTCCAGTTCATCAGTAGAGAGTTCCTCCTCCTTGAAAACCTTCTGAAACAACTCTTTGATGCCTTTCTGGGTTTTTCCCTTCTGTCTCCCCACCAAGTAATAGATCAGAGGGTTAATGCCACTGTTGATGCAGGTACACAAGTAGCCATAATGTACAAGGTTGGGATGTATATATTTGAAAACGTACAGGATAAAATAAAAGGCATTTAGTGGAAAAGCCAAGACTAAAAAGAAGAAAAGTGTGAGCAAAATAGCTGTCAAAAGCTTTCTCCGCCTCTGGCTTTTGGATATGAAGCAGACTTTGATAAACAAGACAACACTGGAGATTGTCATAAGTGGGAGACAAAGCACAGCATTAACAATGAACTGATACATCAAAGTATAATTCTTTCCAAATCCACCAACAGCTATAATTGTGAAGTGAATTGAAGAGAGGATGAAGGACGTGGCCCAGATGACAGCACACACAATAGTGAACAGATGCACCGGCCGGTGGCATCGGTACCAAATTGGGAAAAGGACCGAAATACACCTGTCGATGCTGATGACTGTCAGCAGAAATTGCCCCGTACTGTACATTAACAGTAGGACCGTTTGGAAGAGTTCATAGGGAAAGTCACAATACAAGTGTGTAAACTGCCAGTGGATTTCGATAATCAGCTCAGTGGCGAGGAAACCAAAGTCCGCAACAGAGAGGTTGATAATATAAATGGCAAAAGTGTTCCTCTTAACGGAGCAGCCCAGCAGCCAGATAACAAGGCCGTTGCCTAACATTCCCAACACACAAAAAAGCATAGTGAAAATTGCAAAAATAATCACTTCTTCACTTATGCCAGAATCATAACAGGTTCTATTTATGACACTGGATGTTTCATTGATTTGTGCTAAGACACTGAATGGAGAGGGGGATGCCATATCCATTATGCTTCAGTCTTCTGTCTTCCTTCTGTGGCTCCAGATAGTCCTGCTGGAACAGAAGAGAAACATTGGCATTAAGCTTTATCATAATTCCTAAAAATGCATATTGATTGCATGTCAAAATATGTGACAATATTGCATATAAGTCTAATTGGTGGAATGTTAGCAACGGCAGGTTGGCTTGCAAGATTGTCTCTGAATTAACAATCGGATAGACTAGATTGAGCATATTTGAAGTAAAATTGGGTTTTGATTATACTTGAACTAAGGGTGGTAATTTTGCCTGAATAAAATATGTTATGTGAAAGCTTTGATTCATCAAAACAATGTTGGGTGGTGGTGATTAGTATCTATGGTCCCATCTGGTGTATTCATGGAACATGGAAGATTGTGACTTTAAATCTAAAAGCGGTAAATAGTAAGGACCATGGATTAATGAATGGAAGGGAGGGAAGACGGAGGGAGGGAAGGAAAGAAGAAGGAAGGGAAGGAGGAGGTTTGGCTAGTCTAAAGAAAAGAAAAAAACAGGGGAGACATGATAGCAGTATTCCAGTATTTGAGGGGCTGCCACAAAGAAGGGGGCATCAAGCTATTCTCCAAAGAACCAGAAGGCAGGACAAGAAACAATGGTTGGAAACTGACCAAAGAGAGAAGCAACCTGGAATTAAGGAGAAACTTCCTAACAGGGAGGACAATTAACCAGGGGAACAGCTTGCCTCCAGAAATTGTGGGCGCTCCATGACTGGAGTTTTTTAAGAGACTGGATTGTCACTTGTCTGAAATGGTATAGGTTCTCCTGCTTGAGCAGGGCGCTGGACTAGAAGACCTCCAAGGTCTCTTCCAGCTCTATTCTATTCTAAACAGGAATAAAAGAAAGGGAAAGATGTAGAAGATAAAAAAAAAAGATCTGATGGGCTAAAACAGGGAACCAGCCTACATTCACTTTCATTAGATTTTCTTTCCAGATCTTACATCTCCTACAATGGACTAATTACACTTTTAAAAATAAACAACAAAAACGAAGTGGTGCTTTCTCAAACAATGAGCAAAGATTCGATTGCTTATTTTGCTTTCACCTTTCTCCTGAAGCTTTCGTTAGTGCTTTTTGGTGAAACTGTTTTGCCTTGTTAGATGAATTTTTTTTTTTTTACAGAGGCACTTAACAAAAAGACAGGAAAACAGCAGTACACAAATAAGATATGTATAAACAGTGCTTTCAGTGAAATGTCTTTTGGGTTGAGGAATCAAGGGGAAGAATAATAGAGGAAGAATTAAGCCAATATGCTGACTATCTTCTTTCTCTCATGGTGCAGTTAAATCTTGTACTATAAACATGCCCTTATTTGCATTTTCTGTTGCTTCCTCATTTTGGATTTTGATTATAACATCTTTGACCAGGCTATGTGTCTTGTGTCCTTTAAAAAGTCCTTTTGCAAACTGTCCCAGTACATGGTGGGTGGACCCAACTACAAGCCTTCTTGGTGCTGGCCTCCATTCCATAGAAAACTCTCCTTCCAGAAGTGTGGATGATGGTATTTTACAAATTAGCCAACATTTTTTTAAATATCCATTTGGTCCTTAAATTAATTTACTGTTTGTGCCTATACAAGTGTTTATTGACAATTTTAATGAACTCTGTTTTGTTCTTAGGGTTTGCAATCTCATAACCCACTCAGACTTTCCTAGGACTAGGCTGGGATATAAATATAAATAAGTAGACATATGTGTATAATGTACACTGATGGCAATGAGGTGGTTTCTATATTTTCAGTAACATTCTGGGCAGAGAAAATGTATGCATTATTTCCCTTAGTTAAGTTCCAGAATATCACACTTCCATTCAGGAGAACTTCTCCAAATTTCTCTTTTCCTTTGAGAAAAAAAAAACCTTGCCAAAACAGAATCTTGATTATCAGATTTAAAAAAAAAGAATAATAGTGAGAAAAATGCAATAATGGGAAAAATACAAAAAAATGCCTAACACTAAGGTCAAATCAACTTAATCAATAATTAAAAATGAGTTTGCTATTTACTAATATTGCTTAATTTACAAGATACTGTTCTACAAGTGGTTACTTCTACTGTTTTTGTGCATGGATATCAGTGAGCAACAGGCTGTGCTTGGATGAATATTTTCACGGCATAGAATTTGTACTTTCTCACAGATCCTTAGATTGAGGTTAAATGCAAGCCTGAAGGTTTTGCAAAATAAGCAATGGACACGCAGGTAAGCAAGAGGCATAATATTATATATATGATACAAACACCGATGCACATATACATGCACACACAAATGCACACATACACAAACACCATTTCCAAAAGTGTTGGCAGGGAAACTGCAGAAACTTTCCCAATACAAATTTAAAAAGTTCAAAAAAGAAAAGAGAAAAAGAAAAAAAAATGAAAGAAAAAAAACTGTCCAAAGAAAAAGATTAGCAGAAAGATAGAAAAGAAAGAAGAACAATATCAAGAAGTGGCTTCTAATCTTCTTTTCTGCAGTTATAAATACAATTATAAATTGATCTTTATCTCTAAAGTTATACCACGGCTTTCTTCTTTCTATAATTCATTCTATCTAATCAACAAAACCATAAACTATAAGTTCATTTTTAAACTTTTTACAGAAAAAAATCCACAAGTGTTTTCACTCACCAATAAATGAAGTTATTGTCTTTTCAGTTAAAAAATATGTTCTTGTAGCCTGTGATTAGTATTATTGTTGACAGCCATATTTTGTATATTTGTATGGGGACTGAGCCATCAAAGAAATATGCACACATACACTATAATACATTACAGAAACTCAAATCCCAAAGATAAAAAAACCCCCTAAATATACTAAGACAGAGCAAGCATATAAACAAAAGTGCATGTACACACACACACAGAAACAGTTATATGCGTGCTTTGTCTCTGAGGAACCAAATGTGTGCTGCCATTTAAATAAATGCAAATGATGGGGAAAAGAATGCAAACTAAATAAACAAATGAATCTTTAAAGGTAAATAAACCTTGAGCTAAATCAATCCTGAGCAAGAAGCTGTGGGTTCTTGCATGAGTTTCATCGCTATTCAGGCATAAATCTATTCAGTCTGCTTCATAAACCATCTCTGTGTTTCTGTGGCTTAAACATCTATGGCTAATTAAGCATATACATATTCATATTTATTTTTATATGCAATCTTCCTGAACAATCATTAGTTGTCCTCTATTTCCCATCAAATAAACCATTTCATGTGCAACTTCCCCTAAATTAAGTTTTGCTGGATGCAATCTTTGAAATGATCAACATTTGGAGAATTACACAATAGGAAGAACAATGTTATCATCTCCAGATTAATTAAGAATGGGGAAATTTAACTGATTTGCTTAGAAACTAGAAACTAACCAAATATGTTCTTAAGTCCTCTCTAGGTCAAAATTAATGGTGTGATAATTTCATGGGCATGTTGATTGTTTTCTTAGCAGCAACTTAACCACTGTCTTTCTGTCCCTTGTCTTTAATTTTCCTGTAATCTCCTTCAACTTTTGATGTTGCATAGCTTTCCAAGAGGATCCAAGGCTAGTCGGGCTTCTTAAATAAAAATGGTTTACTAATCAACTTAAGTGATTCAAGTTTTATGTAACAAGTAAAGATGGTGAAACAATATAAACACTGGGCACTTTATAAAGGTTGCATCCATATAGTGAAGATTGCAATAGTAAATGAGACTCTGAATTTAGTGCTGGTTGTAACGGTATGGTGGACATTTTACAGTTGTGTCACAATAGCAAAAACTAAGCAAGATTCCTAGTAAATGAGTTTGACTTCTAAAAGTTGCTTGATTGGGAATGTAGAGTAAATCTAATGGTAAGAATTTCCCATTCTCCAATTCTACTCAGTTTCACTCAGAAGTAAACAATGCTGCATATAATGGGACAGTTCTGATCTGCACATATATGTGCTTCTAATATGTACTTTCTTTTTTAGAATAATGCAATAAACTGTAAATATTGCAAAGTTACTGGTAAATAAGCTAAATGTTTTTTTTTTAAAAAGTCTTCACTTAATTTCTGAACAGATCATTTGAATATATGCTTCCTGTGCATTTTCTGCAAGGGTGAGAGATTTCCAGTATTTTTAAAGGAGACAGGACTCACTGTTGCCAATAGATTTCTTTTATTTTTATAACATTTTATTAGATTATGTTGTCAATAGATTTCTGTAACACAGCAAAAAGTGGAGAACACTTCATCTGCCCTAAGATCTTGGTTTAATCAACACTTATTTCATCTATACACAAAAAGCAGTGGCAATGGCATTCATTGATCTGTTGTCTAATTAGGATGCTAAAAAGAAGAAGTGAACTGCCTTAGAACAGCAAGAAAATCTACAAAAATAAAAGGATGTCTGGGGTTGCAGTTTCTATGTATTGGACCATTTATAGGGAGTTCACTATCGGGGCCAATTTAAGAAATGTCATCTTCGGTTTGGACCCTTCATTTTCTCTGTGTACTTGCTGTTCATCATTAACACTGCAAAATGAAAATTTCAAACTATCTGTTCAAAATGAGATAGACACAGTCAGGAAACCCTATACCATTTCGGACAAATGGCTGTCCAGTCTCTTCTTAAAAACGTCCAGTGTTGGAGCATTCACTGCTTCTGGAGGCAGGTTGTTCCACTGGTTAATTGTTCTAACTGTCAGGAAGTTTCTCCTTAGTTTTAGGTTGCTTCTCTCCTTGGTTAGTTTCCATCTGTTGCTTCTTGTTCTGCCTTCAGGTGCTTTGCAGAATAGCTTGACTCCCTCTTCTTTGTGGGAGCCCCTGAGATATTGGGGGCTGCCACAAAGAAGAGGGAGTCAAGCTATTCTCCAAAGCATTTCCGAACGTTTCGTTAATAGGCTAGGTAACATATTCAGCAGAGTTTAGGGGATGTCAGGATCAATATTCTGTTTATAAGGGCTTCAACCTTCACTTGACACACCCAGCCTGAAGCCCTTATAAGCAGAAGATCAATGACATTGACTTCCCCTAAACTCTGCTAAATATGTTACCTAGCCTGGTAATGAAACATTCAGAAACCAACCCACAGGCTCGGAGAACGAACCTTCACCCTCAAATTAGGTTCTCCGGCAGTGTATCCTTGCAACAACTAAATTCTGTGGAAATATTTTGTTTCTTTTCAGTGTCTTTTTAATAAACACTGAAGTAGTTTCCATAATTAACGCTAGCATTGTCAGCAGTACATATGCTGAAAGTTCTGGAAATGTTAAGCTTGCATAATACCTGCTTTGCAACATCAAAACTCCTGGTTCTTACATTTAATAAATCAGAATACAGAATGTTCTCAAGTAGAACTTTTGCCGCTTAAAACATGTCCAGTTTTTAGCAATATCAAATCACTGAACATTTCTCAATCAACTGTTACACTTCCACCCACAAGATTGGCATTGTTTCACAATAACTGTGTTACAGAAGATTGGCTTCCCCTTGTTGCAAATATCCATTTCACACAATACAGAATTCATGCTGGTCATATTTTTTTTGCTCATTTTATAAGTATGAGTTACTGTGTTCATTCTGGATTAAATGAATTCATTTTCACCTGAGTATTTTGGATCACCTAACTAAGCAATCCCATTCCATCACCATCATTCAGCTCTCCACGCAAAATGCTGTAACATTTCTCTTCCATTAGTCATTTAGTCAAAGCTTACATTTTGATTTTTAATTTAATTTATTTTATATCTGTGCCCAAAAGGTATGATTTGGAACATTGGTTTATGGTTTGGCACAATATTTACATTGAGAACCTGCTTGTTAGAGTAATTAAGGCATCAGACTGGAAGCCAGGGGCTCAGGAGTTTTTTCTTAGGCTCAAAGCATTGCTTGATTTTGGGCCACTCATTCTCTCTCAGCCCTTGGAAGGCTGGCAAATCAGAGAATGATGCCAAGGAAACTTCATGGACTTGTCCATGTGATTATTAGGAATAGAGTAGACTAGAGCTGGAAGGGACCTTGGAGGTCTTCTAGTCCACCCCTCTGCTCAAGCAGGAGAACCTATACCATCTCAGACAAGTGACTGTCCAGTCTCTTCTTAAAAATCTCCAGTGATGGAGCACCCACGATTTCTGAAGGTAAGCCTTTCCACTGGTTAATTGTCCTCACTGTTAGGAATTTTCTCCTTAATTCCACTTTGCTTCTCTCGTTGGTCAGTTTCCAACATTGTTTCTTGTCTTGCCTTCTGGGACTTTGGAGAATAATTTGACCCCATCTTCTTTGTGGCAGCCTCTCAAATATTGGAATACCACTATCATGTCTCCCCTATTTCTTCTTTTCTTTAGACTAGGAATTGAGATTAAGTAGAAGGCATGCACCCACCCACCCACAAATGTTTTAAATAATTGAATATAGCCTTGAAATGCTTTCTCTTTCCCAGTTTGGACTGAAATCTCTTGCTCTTTGGCTCGTAACACTTACTAGAACCTTGCTATTAGGGTTTCTCTTCTAGTGAGATAGCCAGGTATCTTGGTGATAGAAGAGCATGAAAAAAGGTTCAGAAGTTAGGAAGTAGGAAAAGCTTCATAGTTGGCATTTGGGTAAATTCCCATTAAAATGCCAACTCAACAAATGCCTATTTTAAATTTTTGGAGCCAGATTTATTTTTATTCCCCATTTCCCAATATCCTAAATTGGATATTTGCATTGTCTGAAATATATAAATATGTATAGCAGGGAAAAACTTTAAAAAATGTATTAAGGAATAGTGTTGGCAGAATACCTATATTAGGAAAAAGTATGCATGAACATGTTTACAATGAGAAATATACAGCATGTCGATATTAGCAGAAACTCATTCAAAGCATGTAAAATTCTTTACATGGATGAGAAGGATGCATGGATTGCATAGTTAAAAAGCAGTCACAGTCTGAATATGAAAAGGGTCAGATGGACTCTAAGGTAGAAAAAAAGAAGAAACCACATGAAATAAAAAACAAATTTCTCTTAGGTATATTGGGAAACATGAAAGCAATCTTATAAAGCGATTATCTAACAAATCTAATTATTCCATTAACACTTCTATTCAATGGAAATATTACCATCATGAATGGTTAATATTTAGATTTTGCTAGTTGGGGTAATAGAAAGGGGTGATGACAGATCAATACAAACAAAAACATTTAAGGTTATTTTGAGACATTTTGGTTAGAAGGAATTCAAGAACATTCCATCAAACTCTTTGGAGGAAAAGTATATGATGAAGGATTACAGATAGAAAATGTAAAGTTTCTATGAAAGTCTTACCTTCTCTTTGAAGAAGACTACTAGAAGGTCTCCTTCTAGCTTACTGCAAGGTCTTCTTCTAGATGTCAAGGCTTTTCTTCTTAATCTCAACTCTGACTTCAGAAGATCAATGGCCACTCACTCATCCCTGAGGAGAAAATATTACAGAATTGCTTTATGTATGTTCAGGAGAGGTGGAGCACGAGCGACCCACCCACAGTAGTGAGGGCTGGGTGCCCAACTGTTAGGAAATAAGTGCATCCTTTTTTGAAATCATTCCTGCCAGGAAATGCAGAACTTTTTTTTTCAGCGAACTCTGAAAGCAATGAATATTACGAGGTTAAGTGTGCTAATAGAGGAAAGCTTGCCAATATACTTTCTTTATCAGAATGCCACGTGCCACCAATACCAGAATAATAAGAACAAACAATAATAACTTCAAAGCAACAATAATAATGTGAAAGATAGAGTCAGATCGAACATGCTAGATTGAGGAGGATTCCAACAACAACAACAACAACAACAACAACAACAACAACAACAACAACAACAACAACAACAATAATAATAATAATAATAATAATAATAATAATAATAATAATAATAATAATAATAATAATAATAATAGTAAAGTTGGAAGGGACCTTGGAGGTCATCTAGTCCAACCCCCTGCTCAGGCAGGAAACCCTATACTATTTTGGACAAATGGCTGTCCAGTCTCTTCTTAAAAACTTCCAGTGTTGAACCATTCACCGCTTCTGGAGGCAGGTTGTTCCACTGGTTAATTGTTTTAACTGTCAGGAAGTTTCTCCTTAGTTCTAGGTTGCTTCTCTCCTTGGTTAGTTTCCATCCGTTGCTTCTTGTCCTGCCTTCAGGCGCTTTGGAGAATAGCTTGACTCCCTCTTCTTTGGGGCAGCCCCTGAGATATTGGAACACTTCTATCATGTCCCCCCTCGTCCTTCTCTTCATTAAACTAGACATATCCAATTCCAGCAGCCGTTCCTTATATGCTTTAGCCTCCAGTCCCCTAATCATCTTTGTTGCTCTTCTCTGTACTCTTTCTAGAGTCTCAAGTATGGGATTAGCTGCTCATGAAAGTCAAACAATTGAGTGCCTAAAGCTCCAAAAGATATGCAGGCATCAATAATCTGAAATTGTTCTGGGCAGCACAGGCTCTTGGAGCAAATTTCTGAAACTCTGATTAAAAGCACAGAGTTCAACTTAAATTTGGGTGCCACTGAGGGAAGATAGTGGACTGTAATGGACTGATGGAAAGTTTTGGAAAGTCCTCGAAAGAAAGATGCCAATGAAATTAAGCATCTATGGAGATTCTCAGTCATCCAGGTCATGATTGTCCCAAAAGTGCTTTTCCAATGGCAACCGGACTTTCTTTGTTTTTCCTTGAAAACGTTTCACTTCTTATCCAAGAAGCTTCTTCAGTTCTTCGTCCTTCTTCAGGATTTTGGACGAACACTGATTTCTTATGTACACTGTAATTGTGCCTTGAGGGAGAGGGAAAAAGTGCACTTGGTACTCTGGCTTACTTCTCCCTTATCTTTTTTTTTTTTTTTTTTTCCAGAAACAGGATTTTTAAATCTGGCAGGGATAGTAAAACAACAATACCAGTAAGGAAACTATAGCACTTCTGAGCAAATACAAAACAGAATTGCTCTTTAATATGATAAAATCATAGAATGGAGATGTTGTTGGGATGGAATTGAAAAAGATTTGCAAAGTGCATTGTAGAATTGCTTTTCAAGAATATTCTGCTGACCATCCCTGGAGAGTAGTCAAATTAACACTTGAAAAAGCTCAGATCTTCATTGAAGATAATGAGCAAAATGGGCTAGCTCAATTTACAAAATAGGTTGTCATCTTGAATGGGAATGAAAGATGCTTAATGTTTATAGGTTTGGGAGCCAATTGGCATTAGCAATCCCTCCAGAAACCTCTCTGGAATTGATATGCATATAAATTTATACACTATTCCTTAAATTGAGCTAATGTACATTTTCCCAAATTCATGCAACCTTTTTCGGTAAAAGAAGAAGCATGGCAAAATTTTGTGTACAAATGCAGATTCAGTTCCTTTATTGGAAATTTGCTCAAGATAGAAATCCATGTTTGCTTATTACCAATGTGACCTCAAATTTCTTGAGGCCCCCAAAGGCGTCTCCAACCTCAGGGCCCCCAGAACTAGAACTGCTATTTCTTTTCATTATTACAGTAGGAATATAATCCTTAAAATCGGTTTGATGGGGTTTAATGAACAATGGAAAAGAATCCCACTTAACCCAGATAAGAAACTCAGGAAAAGATAGCTATTTTCATGGATAAAACATGACTCCTTGCATCCTGCATCATCACCCAACTTTATGTGGCTCTTCTCCTCCTTGAAATATAGAGAGGATTTCCTTGTTGTCCAGTTTTCTTACCCTTTGTTCATAAGATAAGATAAGATAAGATAAGATAAGATAAACTTTATTGTCATTTTTATACTGTGGGCACAACGGCACACATCAAAAATGAAATTTAGTTGCCCGCTCTCAAGTGAAACACATACATGACACACACCTAAACATACTATGAACAACATATGTATAGACCCACATCCCTACATATACGTAGCAAATAAATATTAAATATTGTCCATCTTGAATATATAATGGAAGGAGGAAGCTTCAGAGTTCGCAAGGTTAATGCTGTATGGAATGAAACTCTGGCTGAATCTGGATCATTATTTTGAGATGTTGGCCAACATGCACCCAGTGCTTTGCTCACAATTTAGTCCTAAACATCTTGAGTTAAGCATAAATATCTTGATTTCAGCAATATGACTTTAGCCGGGGGGGTTTTTTTTTGGGTGGTGAGCAGAGGAAATAGAGATTGTGGAATTTTTAAGATTAAGAATAGGAGCAGTGCCTAGGAAAAGTTGCAGCAGTTTCTGAGAGCAATTGAAACTTTTAATGCTATCCTCTTGTCCATAACTTTAAAACCCACCTATGAATACCCTCTTCATTAAATAGCCTCCAAATTTTCTTAAGAGAATGTACACAATAGCTTTTGGGACATCATCCTATTCTTAGAGGAAAACTACTACTTTTTTGGGGGGAAAGAAACCGACTTAGAATGAAGATGTTTGACATCTGAACTAGGTTGAAAAATGAGAATGTAGTGAGCTTGGTTTGATGAGTATCTTTTTTCCAGCTTTACTTGGCAGGCAGGAGGATTTTATAAAATGAAATATAGATCAGATGCTACCAACTAGTGAGATCATCTATTATAATTAGCCAATATTCTTTACCCTTTAAACTAACCATGCACTGATTACCAGATTAAATATATTTTAAAGAACATGCTGATTATTGTAAGTAGTAGTTTGAAGCCGTAATAACCGAAAATCTAATACAGAAACTGCTATTCAATGCATCTTATCTTTGTCTTTTTTTGTCCCTGTTCCTGTCTGCCTGTCTCTGTCTGTCTCCATCTTTCTGTCTCTCTCTCTCTCTTTCACTTCTCCAAATGCAATCAATTCCACTTATTATTCTTTCTAGCTTCTGCTGTCAGTAGTTACACAAAAATATACTCATATAATATATTGTTGATGAGAAATTAACCATGAAAACAATTTTAAACAATTTTAACAGTGTTGGAAAGGATTTGAATCTCTGAGTGAAGTGCCAAAATCTTTTGTTAAGACTATGAGACAGACAGGCAGACAGACAGACAGACAGACAGACAGACAGACAGACAGACAGACAGACAGACAGACAGATGGTGGTCTTCTAGTTCAACTCCTGCTCAAGTCCAAACCAACCCCCCTGCTCAAGAGGGTTGGACTTTTTAACTGGAAGGAAATCTTTATTTCTTAAATCATAAATTTAAGAAATCCCACATCAATTAAAATTTTTTAAATCACTTTATATGTTACCCCTTTAGCCAACTTTACAACTCCAACATTTATATGGAAGAGTGTCATATATGTTTAATGAATGAGTGAATAAATTTATTCTCCACCAATCATCTTTTCACTTTGAATGGCTTTTTTTCAATTGTCCTGTCTCTCTTTTACTCAACCTCATAAAATCTGACTTGCATACAGTAAATCAGCAAAAACAGGAACTAAGTAAGAACTTTCCCCAGATGTGGTAACACTTTATCTTGGTGCTCGTTTAACAAAAATGACAACAATCAGTAAGGCGGGAATTTCTTGGGCTTTATCATATCACACCCATTAAAAAAATGTCCCCAAAGAACACCTAGAACTGAGAGTGTGAGACACCAGTTTGGTGCAGTGGTCAAGAACTCAGAATGCTAGTTGGGAATTCTGGGATTCGAAGTCCACACATCTTAAATCTGCTGAAGTTGAAAACCCCTGTTTTAAAAAGTTATTTAGAATGAAAGAACAATTAAAGGTCCACCCAAATATAATGAAAAATCCAATGAAAACATTAACCTTTAAACCTAAAATAAATAGAAGACACCCAGCAACTTATTTATTAATTATATTTTTATCCTGCTTTTATTACTTTATGAGTAACTCAAGGCATCAAACATATCTAACACTCCTTCCTCCTCCTATTTTCCCCACAACAACAATCTTATGAGGTAAGTTGGGCTGAGAGGGAGCGATTGGCCCAAAGTCAACAGCTGGCTTTCATGTCTAAGGCAGGACTAGAACTCACCATCTCCTGGTGATTAGCCAGCTTTCATGCCTAAACCAGGATTACAACTCATAATCTCCTGATTTCTAGGCCAGCACTTTAACCACTGGTTCTCAGATATATTTCAGATAAAGATATAAATTTTGATCTCTGATGGTGGAAAGAAAATGGAGAGTGAGCAATTTCCAGACCAGAGTATTTCAACTTCAGCAGTTTTAAGATGTGTGGACTTCAACTCCCAGAATTGTCACTGTGGGAATGAACTGAGAATTCAGCATTCTCAAAATGCTGGCTAGGGAATTCTGGGAGTTGAAGTCCACACATCTTAAACTTGCTGTAGCTGAGAAACTCTGCTCTGCAAAGTTATTTTTTGCATTCCCAACAAACTTGCTTCTGATTATAACTGGAACAAAGAAAATCTTAGCACTCAGGACAGGATCATATAACCTGTTCCTCCTTTCCCAAGTAAACCTCCAAAGTTTCAACAATCTCTTTGTTGAATTCAATTCTT